CCTTGTGCCAAATCGTAAAACCGCCTCTATTATCTTTGAGGAACGTTACGCGGCATAACCGATTTTCTAGCGACAATTTGTCGCATTTGCCCCATCTCTGAACTCGTCCATATAACCTGTCACAATAGATACTGTGAGAGGTTAAATGGTCGAGTTCAGTGATGTCGCTTGAATGATGTTATGCGTAACGTTCCTCAAAGATAGTAGAGGCGGTTTTACGATTTGGTACAAGGTCAAGGCGTTCGTTTAAGGAGCGTTACAAGATAAATACAACGATTTTTAAAGAGCGTTATTGTATTGGGCGGTTCAAGGGGTCTTTATTAATAACTTTATTATTTTGTAGGGGCAATACAACTATGGAACTATATTATTATACTACTCTAAACTATGGGCTTGAACTGAACTACTTTCAAGAGGGAGAAAATTCCACCCTTTTTATAATGAATTGTCCACGAGAAGAGCACGAAACAAGACTACGACTCTTCTCATTGTTCCCATCGAATTCCAACCATTTTTGTTCTAACCTTTGACCTTTTCATAGACACAGCATTCCTTTAACATTTCTCACGTTCTTCATAGAACTGATGAGAATGTTTCAGTACCGTTTGTCCCGGGGCCAGAACCCAACATAATTATTACAATCTCACCCCTTGACATTGCCTCACACTTAAACCAAGAAGGATAAAGTAGAGTCAACGTCCATTTCCAGTCGTAGTGGTGCGAACAGGTTGGTCTGGATCGACCTTTCTTTATTTGGAGGGGGTGGTGGGGTCCCACATTGAGGCTTGTATGCTATCATATGGCTTTCTTGGGGCCGGGCGCACATGTTTCAAGTGATCGTCATAGGCACTACCGATTTGGCGTGTTAGTTTTACCTCTGACAATGCACTATTTACAAACTACTATAGTTATATATTTACATATGGGGCTTCTCTACCTATGTGTAGCAGACTATATATTCCTGTACGATCACATGAATGTGTAGCATGAAATGTGTGAGAGATGGCTCCGTTCAACTTTTTTGATGTTTGCTATACTGATTTTTGAAAAACACCGTTTACATCTAGTCAGTATATTCATAAGCAAAAATTCGTCTGATTGGTTAATGCAAATCAATTGCCCGGTTAACTTATTTATATGTTTTGGAGACTTTTTGAGAACGCAACATTACACAAGTAACCATTCTTAACAAACATCATATTTAGCTTCGAAAAGGTACTAGAAAGCTAACTTTAAAAATAATCTCTAATTTAAGAGGGTTGGCTTGGACACGACTTTCTGCAAGAGGTAAAAAAAAAAAAAAAAGCTACGACTAAATTTTAAAATGCACAAAAACCAAAGTAATTATTAAACCTCAAGTCAGGTGTTTGAAGCAAGACAAACTTGTTCGCATGAGAAATCTACGGTTTATATTAAGATATTCTTACTAACTATAGATATCAACCTGGGTTTATAGATAGTAGGGTTAGTGATTCGAGCTTTGCTTTACCACTTCTGCCCTATATGCATATATCTATCTTTATACGTATATAACCCGAAACTCATACGTGTTTACCGATTTATATAAAATTTTTCTTAAAGTTTTCGTTTCTAGTGCAATAATACGAATTGCTAATTATGTGATTTGATTGGCTAATAATCACGAAGTTAGCCAATCAGACAAATATATGTGATGACGATCGTACACCATGTGCGCGCGCAACTACATATACTTTATATATATATATATTATTATAAATATGTGATGGTAATATAATTCTCACACATTCAAACGATTCTAATTGTTTATTTCATACTGTAATCATTTTTGTAATCATAATTCAGAGTATTGCGAGCAGAGTTCGTGAAAGCCATATCAGAATTTGCAATATAGATATTACGTGTTTGAATAAATTATCGAATATATTGTAACTATACTCGTTCCATTTCAAAGCATTGACTAATCATATTTTATAAAAAGGTACATTTGCACAAACGGTTATTTAACCGTTATTGTGAAAGCAGATAATAAATTACTGAGAATAGGGCCAATTTAACCCTAACGGTATACGGGCGAGTAATGGAAAACTTTGGATAACGAAGTCGTTCTTTTATAATTTCTAGGGGACTAGTAGGACGAAATGTGAATACTCTGATACCAATCAGGGATGGATTAGCAGGAATTAATGACGGGTGATGCTGTTAAAAGTGATGATTGTGTGACATCAATGATAACGTTAAGTTCACGTGGTGGATAGTAGGGTCGTTCTCTTCTACAATTCCTACAAGGGCCAGGAACGGCAATATTTAATTCCGCTATAATACTAGAGTTAATAATCCGAATCGAACTTACTAGTCAATTCAGTCCGTCGAATTGAGTCTCGATGGGTTTATTATTATACAAGTCAATATTAGAGAACAATTCATAAGATAAGTATACCTTTTTGTTTTATTGGTAATTATTAATGGATGTGAACTGTTTGTTATTTATTGATTTCGAAATATTTATATGCATTCTGATTTCTTAAAACGTTTTAATAAAAATTTAACGATTACTCAAGAATTTAGCGTTACTTTAAGATTCTGGGTTTTCGCTATAGTTTTTGTGTTTGGGACGCAGGACCTACATATTGTGATTCCGGAAATCGGCGAGTCTGTCGCTAAACTAATCCAACTCTCGCGTAACCTACGGCGGCTAAGTCGA